GTATTTGTAATGCTGTACCACAACTTTCTGATATCTTTCTGTTTAGCATGTTATTATTATCTCCGGTAATAATGTATTTATATATGCTTATATATTCATGCACACAGGAACAAATATATTCTTTATTAAAAGAGGTATCATTACAGGGTGATTCTATTACAGATTTAAGTCTGGATGGATGGCTAGGGAAAAGGAAGGGAAAAGATGGATACAAACTCTGTAAGTACCAGGAGAAACAGCTGTAACTGTCTTCCTGGAATATAAGAGCAATGTGGATAGAGCAATGTGGATATAAAATTTGAAATAGTTTTTCAGCTTGGATGCAATAAACTGAACTTCATTGTTTTACTCCTAAGAGAGACTCTTATGTTGGCCACTGTGTCACAGTAAAGTAAAAAGTCTGTCAGACTGGTAGTCTAAACTGACCATGGCAAACACATATATAAGCAATTAAAGTGTTGTAGAGCAATTTACATGTGAGCAACAGCAGCCCACAAAGGAAGTGCTACTGATTAGTTTTGAATGTCAGACTTGAGGGTACAAAATAAAGCACCAATGTTCGTAGGTGGATTGGTGCAAATGTGTCCCTCATATTTTACCAATCATGAAGGCAAACAATTTTCAATTCCAGGGTACATAGAAGCATCTGGGAATCTTTTAAAAACAAACAAACAAACCCAACAACAACAACAACAACAACAACAAAACACTGATGATCAGGCTTATCTTTAACTATCAGTGTATTTTATAAAGGTAAATTTTATGGCTAGTTTGAATTAAAAACCACTGGTTTGGATAATAAACACTTTCTAGTCTTTCATAATTGTGCATGAAACTGTCTGTTTAATTTGGAAAAGTAGATATATAGACCATAGAAAAGACATTAGGTACAACAGAAACCAATACCAGCTGATACTGACAGCATGAGACTTAAGAAAGGGAATACTGCTTTTTTTGGTGTTTAAGAAGCTTTTAAAAATATTTATTTATTTTATGTGTATAAGTGTTTTGCCTGCATATGTGTTTGTGCAACATATATGTGCATAGGCCAGAAGAGGGCATCAAACCCCCTGAAACTGGAGTTACAGATGGTTGGCTGTGAACCCCAATGTGGGTGCTGGGAACTGAGCCTGGGTTCTCTGGAAGAGCAGCAGTGGTCAAATGCTGGGCCATCTCTCCAGCCCCAATATCTTTTTATACAGGACTTTAATATACTCTTCACTTTATTTTCCAGAGGGTTTTTTTTTTTTAAACCATACAAAGGTTTAATCATTTGACAATCTCTTATATTTACATATTTGTTTGACTGGGACTGGTCAAGTGTCATAGTAACAAGGGGATAAGGAAGGTTATACAGGAATATTCAGCTACTGCCTTAGTTCAACTATGCTTTTTGGGTGTCTTGGCATATTTTTTAGTGTCTGGATTCTTTCAGAGCTAAGCTCAAAGCTAATACAAATGGTGCAGCTGCAACTGCATTGTGTTATAGACAAGGCCAACTCAGATCATTGTGCTATGGAAATGAGAACACTAAGCTGAACACCTGGCCCGGAAAACAAGTAGCTCTCTCTATTCAATGCCAAATGGATGGTATCATCTAAGTAGAAGTCATACAAAAATCCTAAAAATCAATAGTCACTTTATAAATAGGGTATAAAGAAGCCTGTTCCAAAGCCATAGTTTCTACTATGTATGAAACAACTGTATACAACTTTAAGATATGTTTGTTTTCCTTTTTGAATTAAATTTAAGTAGAAATAACTTATTTAGTCAGTTTTTCCTCATTTCTGCCATAAAATCGCTTAAATGTCATTTGAGCAATGCATAAAATATACAAAGAATGTTTTATATAGAGAAAAGTACAAATATACAAAGGCAAAAATATACCCTAGCAAAAACAAACAAAAAAATGATCTTTTTTAAAAAACAAAAGCTATTCAAATGATTATAATTTTTTAAGAATCTAAGACAAAACTCACAACTACCAAAAACATTGTAAGCTTGTACATAAGCATATGTAAAGGGCTCAAAAGAAATATTTCAAGGAACAAATTACTAAATAAAAATTCTAGCTAGTTTCAATTTCCAAATGTAAATACAGAATATACTCTAGACATAAATCCTAACTGTAAATTAAAATTTCTCTTTATTGAGGGAAAAAAAAACTATTTTGCACAGGCACATTCATTTAAAACAATCTCTTATGAAATGTTTACTATATAGCAAAAGTTTATTATTTCAATTTACTAGAGACATCAGTTACACCAAGAGACTAAATGAGGGATAAACTTATTCTATTTGGATCTTGTATATTGATGTGTATCTTATTCACTCAACAACTATTGATCAGATGTTTGCTATGTGTAAGGTACTCTATGGAGCAATTGGGGCGGTTACAGAGATATCAGAATAGATCTTCACTGTTAATGAGAAACAGAGATGACAAACTGAAAGAGGAAAATGAGGAGTGAAGATGATCAAAATACATTATATACATGATGATTCTGTCGAACAAGAAATAAAAATGTGTTATTTATCTACCATGAAACAGACCTTTCCGGAGAGTAAGTTTTATAAAGATCACCTATTTTCAAGATGTAAAGTATTCTCAAATGATATATAATATACCCATTTATACTTTAAAAAATAAGAACAAATACAATTTCATTTTTTTAATGATTAGGAATGACAGTTATCAGTGTCAACTTCTATATACTCTATACTCTGAAATACGATGACATGTTCAAAGACTACTAGAACATGTTAGCTATGTATCCTTTTCTTTTAGGGGGAGCTGATAAAAACCCGAGTTCTGTTCTGATGGTTCATTTTAGAAAAATGTCTAGCTAAGGGCTGCTGAGTGGTTAATTCTCCTAGAAATATATGGCTTTGTGACTGTAAGAAGCCTTTTTCCTTCCCTCATTATTTCTATGATTATCAAGTGAGTACACGGTTTGTAAGTATTGCTTTGAAACTTCTACTTACAAATGGTTAGTTTTTATTAGGATAATTCTTAAATTACTTGCCAATTTATTATTTGAATAAGCAAAAATTGCAGTTCTTAATTAATTAAAATTTTAAAAAGCCTGAACACAAACTTCACACACAATTTACGACAGTCTTCATTGTTACAATAATTCGGAGAGCTATTCGCACCTGTGTACTTCAAGAAAAATAAGAAAGCACCATTTGATTCCAGCTAGACAGTGTGAAAACCTTAAACTGAAACTCAGTCCAGTCCAGTGTATCATTGAAGTCTGTACACGGGTAGTTTTAAGTAGTATTCATTGATATATAATATACTCAGTTACACCTTGAAAAAAATAACAAAACAAAAGAAAATCTCATTTTTTCTTAATAATTCAGGATCACCGTTATTGCATGAACTGCTGTACAATACACTGCATTACTGTCTTAGTTAGGGTGTCTATTGCTATGATAAAACATCATGACCAAAGGCAACTTGGAGAGGGAAGGGTTTACTGCATCATAGTCCCTCATGGAGCAAAATAAGGACAGGAACCTGGAGGCAGGAGCTGATGCAGAGGTCATGGAAGGGGTGCTGCTTACTGGCTTACTCAGTCTGTTTTCTTATACAATCCAGGCCTACTAGCCCAGGCATGACACCGTCCATAATGGGTTGGGCCTCAAACATCAATCACTAATCAAGATAATACTCCACCAACTTGCCTAAAGGCCAATCTTATGGAGGCATTTTCTAAATTAAGATTTCCTCTTTTCAGATATGTTTAGTTGACAAACAAACAAACAAAAATCCCAGCACAACTACTAATACATGTTAAGCTATATTGGTTTCTGCTCTGAAAAAAAAAAAAAGGTGAAGGAAACATGCTTTTCTCATTCATGAAAATTAAAACATATATAGCTGTGCCTATAGAATTAAGGAATTTAGTAAGACATTATTACATCTAGTGCTCTTAAGTAGCTGCCACATCATGATTACAATATTAATGTAGCACTCACTTGCTAGTCTATAGATGTCTGTAAAACTCTGAAAGGTTTTTTACAGAAACAGAATATCCACAAACTCTACCCACTCTTAATGTGAAAGAGGTAAGTATATTGTTCTTCAGAGTTCACAGAAATAAACAGGTTCTACTTAAAAGCCATCTCAACTTAAAGTATTGGAATAAGAACATTAATTTAGCTACGTTAAGAGGGGAAAAGTTTGTTTTCTTCCCCAAAAGAAAAGTTTATTTCTATCTTATACTGATCATTGTACTTAGAATAATGACCAAGCTCTTGAAGCAATTCTCTTTAAATATGTCTTTTATAACATACAAATTTTCATATGTTTACAAAATAGGTTCATTTTTTACCCAATACTCCAAGGGAAGAGATGGCTTAATATCTGAGTTATTTGAGGCTGGCAAGATTGTTCAGTGGTTATTGCAAGCCCGATGACCTGAGTTCAGTTCCTAGAATCCACACAGAAGTAGAAGAGAGGAGAACAGATTCCACAAAGTTGTCCTCTGACCTCCACATGTGCACTGTAGTGAATACACGCATGCATACGCACACACACAAATAATAAAACATTATAAAATAAAGTATAAAAAATAGGAGGTTTGCAATGAGAAAGAAAGGCTACACCTAATAGCCAGCTCTACTGGTCCACTATGGTCTTCCCATTTCAGTGTGCTTTTAGCAAACGTTTGTACTTATTATAATATTAATATATTTTTAGCTAATAACCAGATTAATGGATACCTGCAAAGATTTACACTTTGTAATTCAGAAAAATTCAGATTTAAGGTACTTAGTTGTATTTGTAAAATAGCCCACGAGCAAAAATAGTATTCCTTAAAATCTAATGGACCTTAGACTGGACATAATTCATAGTTAATCAATAGAAATGTATACTTCTGGCCTTTATCCTCAGTATTGTAATTAAATTCTTGAGGAACAAAATGCTTGGACTACTTTAACTCTGAGGAGAAAATATATATATATATATTTTAGTGGTAAGCAACACTTACTGGTACTTTGAAAGGGGAGGTATTCGCAGTGTCCATGGAGTTGGGTTTCTCTGATGTGCTGGTCCCTGAGATGCTCCGTCTGCGGGGGGACCTTTCTGCTGGCACCTCTGGAAAAGCGAAGGAAGTGGAAACATCATGAAGAACCCAAAATTTCAGACTTTCCCTAAACTATAAAATTGCTTTTCTCATACACACAAAAAAGCTGTTTTCTTTGAAAGTCTATTACATTTTTATCTCAACATGCTTTAGGTATCTTTGTGATGTTTAACCTATGGAGACAAAGAAACTTGGTCAGGGTTAAGAATCTATTCTAAGAGACAACTTGTATTTTCATCTGTGCATGTATAAGAAGCAATTTTTCTAAGTTATAATATGTTTAAGATTTTCAGGTTCACTTAATAATTTTATCTTGTACCATATGGCTCTGCTTCTCTATCAGCCATTTAGAAGTGAATCAGAAATTTCTTATATTTTTGTGAACCAGAAATATTAGTGTTGAGCATGATTTGACACTGCTTACAAAAAGGTTAAAGTTCAGTTCTATACAGATGACTCACTAGACTGTAGCAAAAGCTATGAGAAGACTGAAAGGTGCTGCAGGATAAAAGAATATACATGCCTATGCAGATATAAAAATAGAGCCGCTTCTCCTTGTTCTGGTTATATGACCTTACTTACATCTTACTCTGAAATCACAGATCTGTTCAAATGACCTAACAAGATTAAGATTCTGCAAATGATGTGATCTCTAATTAAACAGCCATAAAGCATATAACACTACATTTTAAAGGTTTTTTTTCAGTGATACATACATATACACATATACACATGCACACCGATACTTATACATATTATACCTTTATCACAACTGCTTCCCATCTCCACTTCAACTGACAGACAGATAAGAATCCAGCTTCTCAGATAACATTAGATAATCTCAACATGGACAAGAAAAAAAACACATCCTAAAAAAAGTATTCTGTGTTATCGTCCAGATCTTAAAAAATAAAGAGTAAATTGTGACTCCGGAGACTGACATTTTGATTCCCGCTGTTCTGCCTTTAAAAGATAGATGCAGTTTAAACTTCCATTTCTGGCCTCCTGGCCCCTGGGATCCGTGCTACTTCCACTTAAGAGAAAGCATTTTTTTTTCTCGTGCTCCCTCCCTGCCTTGCTCTTCCCCCTCCCTCTCCACAGCTTGCAGAGAGCGAGCGAGAAAGAAACACAGGACTGCAGCTATTCATTCAATCAATCGTCTGACTGCACATCCTCATTAGTTACTTTTAGGCTATTAACAAGCATCCACTGCCTCCCCTTACTTACAGAAAATTTCTCTGTATTACACTAATCTGCAGCAGAAAAAAATTACTGACATTTAAATTCGGCTAGTGTTAAAAGGACACCATCTTACACAGACCCAGTAATGCACACAAATCAATGCTGCCTAAGAAAAGCCAACTGGAAGTGCTTACCCTATCACTGTTTGCATGCTGGATACAGGTCTTCTTTCATCTCCTTGTAGCATCTTGACCATTAAGATATTAGCCAAATTACAATATTCCTAATGACTGAGAAGTTGATACCGCAGCTTATATGCCTGCAGTAGAAGACAGTTCCATGATATTGCCGTATTTTTAAATTATGACCAATAACTGTGTCTCAGTTTCTCTCTACCCATCAGTGAATAAATGAGTCTTAATGTACGAAGCCATTTTCAGAATTAGGCACACGTGACTTCTAACATACATCTCTGAAAGGTGGCAGTATAATTAACTCAGATTCATGGGAATGGCACAAAGGAAGTTAAGCAAATCATCTTGCTGGAATACACACAGCAAGACCTTCAGACTTGGAGACATGACTTTAAGAGTAATGTATCCAAGTCAGGTGATTCTAAAGTTGGGAGACAAGACAGGCGGGGCATGGAGCTGGTAAGGCAAGAGAACATCTCATATTTTCTCTGATAATTATCTATAAAGTTATATTATCTGTAACTTCAAATTAAGATACAGATATTTTAATCTCTGAATAAATGACAGAGAAACCAAACTGGGAGAAAAATAAGTTTAATTAGCTAGGATAAAATGACAGAATGAAATAGTTTACTCAATATGCAATGTTCTGGTTAATGAAAAAATTGAAACCCATTTCCTCACTTTCTTCCAAACATCTAATTTTAGTTTCAGGCTTCAACTCATTAAGCAAATATATTTCAGTGCTTTAACTGTTTGAAATTGTACTGGCTAAAATGAGTAAACTACATTCCAAACCCCTAACTATGGTTACTTACTATACTTTTTGTCTCCATATGGTAAGAACAAACAGCTCTTATAGTTTATAGGTTGTTAGCTCCAAAGAGAATAAATTATTTTTGAAGAGGTAAAGTAACTCAACCAGTGAAAGGAGTGAGTACTTTATATTGCTAATTTCTCAACCCTCTACAACATAATTTATTTCTTGATATAAAATAGACCCTTGATGACCACGTGTTTTATTTCTCTCAAGGGTTGCTCCCCTAAAGATCAATGTTAACTTAGAAAGAAGATAGTAGTCTTCACAGGAGACTGATTGGCAGCTTGCTGGATTAGTAAATCACAAGAAACCCCAAGTGGTTCCTTCTCTCTTCTCTCTTCTCTGTCCCCTCTCCTCTCCCCCCCTCCACCCCGCCTCTCTCTGAGCATGCACCTGGGCAATGCAGATGATAGAGGCCAGGTTTGTAAAGTTCAGAGGAAAGCAAAGACTCAGGGCAGTTTGGGTGATATTTTGTACTAACAATTTGAGGGTTCTGGTCAGCTCAGATGGAAAAATAGCTGTGACTATCAAGAAACCCATACCACTAAAGTGAAACCTTTGCTTTACTAGGACAACTGATGATAGTTAGCTGGGGCTGAAAAACACTGAGGTGCAATCTTCTAATAAGTATTTTTTCAGGGTTAGCACACAGAGCTGTGGGAAGCCAAGGCTGAACCTGGCTGAACTTGACAATGTGTAAGAGTTCTTCACATGTTTTGGTGGCATGAAAGCTGCAAGATGGAAAGTATCATGAGGAACATCTGGGAGTTGGCATTGAAGGAGGCCAGCAGAGGACACTGGTGAAGGTGCAGTCAGCTGCAGTTGAGAAAAACCATACTGGAGATGCCAGGACCGCGGGATGACCACTAAGGACAACAGCAAGTGTGGAGTGGAGTTTGTACCTACAAACAAGCTATGTGTGATGTGGGTGGTAATGCTGGAGAAGAGGAGCTACCCAAGTCCTTGGGAGCCCAGAAGATTGTGTGTGTGTGTGTGTGTGTGTGTGTGTGTGTGTGTTCCAGATGTTAGACAATGAACTATTTATACTGCTGGATGGTATCTGCCTTGATCTGATTTTAACTGTGTTCTGGTTCTTTTCTCTTGGAATAAGAAGTATAAAACTTTTTATTGTACAAGAGCCCACAATGAAGAGACTTTGGACTCTTAAAGAGATACTGGATTTTTAAAGAGCCTGAGCTTTTATCTTAAATTTCCAATACAAAATTTATCTCTCATTTTTAGTGATAATAAACAGGCATTTTGATAATGACAAAAAATGATGATATTGCAATACCAAGCCATCATTTACTATGCTTTATTTCAGAAAAATGTTTTTAATGAATTACATCTTCAATCCAGACAATAATCCTTTGGAGCTAGAATTATCCTCCCAATTTTACAGACATGGAAACAAGATGTTCTAGTACTCTGCCCATGTCTGGCCAGCAGGCAAGAGGCAAAATGAGGATTAGAACCCACGCAGTCTGCATTTAGAGCCTGTGCTTTTAACCATCAGGCATGCTATCTTGTTCTGTGTGTTTTACATAATAGGCTATAATGGAGGGGAACCATAACTACAGAGACTTTAGTTTTCTTATTTGTTCCTAAAAATAACTAAAAAAATTAACAATATGTTCACAGTTCTTTGTATTTTAAAGAAAACTAAGGCATACATACTAAGGGTTTACTCCAAACATGGCCTATCAAGGCAGACTCAATCCTGGAATGCTGATGCTGATAAGACTCTCCAAGTCCAAGATACATAGAGCTGAGACACTCAGTCAAAGGGGAATCATGTAACTTAATAACAAAGTGTAACGATGAGGATAAAAATCCAACAAACAGAAGCCAAGCACTAGAGAATACCTACAGCTGATTTCTTACACTAAAAAACAGGGGGCAGGGGGAAGCTTTCTAGAAAATAATATGCCCTTCAACCCGCCCAAGACAGGGTTTCTTTGTGTAGTTTTGGTGCCTGTCCTGGATCTTGCTCTGTAGACCAGGCTGGCCTCAAACTCACAGAGATCCACCTGGCTCTGCCTCCTGAGTGCTGGGATTAAAGGCGTGTGCCACCACCGCCTGGTGCCCTTTAACATTCTTTTTTTGTTTTGTTTTGTTTTTTTGTTTTTTGGTTTTTCGAGACAGGGTTTCTCTGCGTAGCTTTGCGCCTTTCCTGGAACTCACTTGGTAGTCCAGGCTGGCCTCGAACTCACAGAGATCCGCCTGCCTCTGCCTCCCAAGTGCTGGGATTAAAGGCGTGCGCCACCATGCCCGGCTCTAACATTCTTAAAGCAATCTTCAATATATGAAACAACTATTTCCACAAATTCTAGGAGACAAACTAAATTAATCAACATCTTCGGCTTTGCAAAGAATAAGCTCTAAATAACTAACAGTGTTGTTCAGCTCAAAATGAACAGTTTGAGCATTTCAATCTAATTATTTATAAGATTTTTCTAATCTCACAGTTTTGGTGAGCTATATTTGTTGTCAACTCTGAGAGATGTTATCTTTTCAGATTTCTATAGACAGGCATTATGGTTTTTTCTGTCCTACCCTCTCTAAGCTGTTGCTTCTTTACCTTTTTTTTCCTTACAGAGGCAAGATCTTGCTATGTAACACAAGCTCACCTCAAAGTCTTATTCTGTGTCAGCCTCTGAGTGCTGGAATTACAGTTGTGTGACACTGTACCTGTCTGTCTTAGGCTTTCCTGAAACTGATTCAATAATATGTTTTCCTTACTAATAAGCTTTATAGTAATGCAATCACCTTATTTACAGATATGCTCTAAGGTATTTACACTGTGTTTATAACTGACTCAGTAATGTAACTGAAGGTATATGCTTAAATTTATTGAAGAATAATTTTAGTATTCAGTAATAATTATAAAAATAGATTTAGGCTTTGATTATATCAAGGAATTTTAAGAACAGTTTAGTTTCCCCCTCACATACAACTGTCATTAATAGAATCAGTGTACTGAAAAGAGAAAAGCCTAGCTATTAGGGAGGCTGAAGCAGGAAGATCACTTCAGCCTAGTTTGAGGTCAGCCTAGGTAATATAAAGAGATCCTCCTCCCACAAAAAAGGAGAAAGGGAGCAGGAAAGAGAAATGGTGGAGAAGGGAAAAAAGGAGAGGAGAGAGAGAATATGAATACAAATGTATAGACCTTTAAATGTAAATATGAAACAATCATTTCCTGAGATGAAATGTGCATACAACGTGGTATAAAACCAAAGCTATAATGCCAAGCATCAATAATTAGTGAAGGTAACAGAAATGGGGAAACCATGATGTTGGTTTATCCCCCTTTAGCATTCAGTCAATATCAAGTCTATCTCTGAGATGCCTATCAGCTTCATTTAGCCAACCATTAACATCTTAGTCTAGGGCTTTTTATTCTATGCACACTGTGACAGGGGTCTCCTAGCTAATTTCACTCACTCAGTTTCTGTCTACTTAATGTTATCCTGTGAACAATTATAAGATTAATTTCCCCCCAAATATTGCTTTTTTTTTTTAAAAAAGGAAATTACTTTCTACTAATCTTTACACAATCAGGCATTTAAGAGGGGAAAAAAATCAAACTGGTCTTTATACATTCCTTTTCTTTGTCAACCATTTGCCAGAGTCTGACAATCTGTGGAGATTGTTCACACTCCTCTGGTGCCTGTCCTTCGAAGTGTTTTACCCACTTACCAAATTGTAGGTAACCTTCAACTACTTCTATAAAGCCAGACCAACATACTTCACATGCATATCTGTAAATTCATACTGCTAGAGTATATGTTCTCTAGTTTTCCCCACCAAACTAAATATTACTGATTACACCAGTGTTCTGTAGCCAAGGCCTCACACTTCCAGATTTCAATAATGGTCTGCTCTATACTTCAAACAAAATGAGCAGTCATCTCAATTTTAAGTACTTCTTACAATGTTTTCATAAACGTTTTCCACCCATAATTGCTTTTATTAAAATAGAATAAAAGATGATAAATAAGTAACATTTAACTAAACAACTAAAAATAGTTAAGTATACTGAGTCTGGATACCCCTACCTCTTTAATAGACAAATATGCTTTAAATTAAGATTTCATTCAGTTGAATCATACAGGACTGCCATCTTACTATAAGGATAATTGGTAAATAATCAGCATTCCACATGGAATTAACTTCATACTTAATACATTTTTAGTGTACTCATTCCAAAATGAAATTGATCCTACCATCTGGACAAGTTTAACAATCAGCTTTCATGTTCATTAACTTGAATGATCAGCTATAATTGAGACTTTGATGAATAAG